TCCAGCAGCTCGACCGCCATCTCCGCAAGGACCTACAGTATCTATACCAGTTACTACAATTAAACCTGCTCAAGTATGTATAATTATACAAAACTAATAATAGATAAAATCTATTTATTTTTTATTTTTTTTATTATATATAATTATATAATAAAAAATAATATATTTTTATATATATATTTATAATTATTTATAAATGCAATTGGAAATTTTTAGGCATTGGAAGCTGCAAAAGTACAATTACCTCCTGATGATTATACACGTGAAATAACTGGTACCAGAACAGAACAACGAGTAAAAATGAACAGAATGCGAATGCGTATTGCAGAACGATTAAAAGAAGCTCAAAATACGAATGCTATGTTAACAACATTTAATGAAATTGATATGAGGTTGTTAAATATTTATCATAATTATTATTGCTAATATTTTTTTTTCAATTATTAATTATTTTTTTCTTGTGTTATCTTTTATAGTCGTATTATGGAATTTCGCAAATTACATCAAGAAAACTTTACAAAGAAATATGGCTTGAAATTAGGATTTATGAGTCCATTTATTGCAGCAAGTGCCTATGCTTTAAAAGATCAACCAGTAGTAAATGCTGTAATAGACGGTGCTGAAATAGTTTATAGAGATTATGTTGATATTAGTGTTGCAGTTGCAACACCAAAAGGACTTGTTGTCCCAGTTCTTCGTAGCGTAGAAAATAAAAATTTTGCAGAAATTGAAATTGCTTTGGCAGCTTTAAGCGATAAAGCAAGAAAAGGTAAAATAACTGTCGAAGATATGGATGGTGGTACATTTACAATAAGTAACGGCGGTGTTTTTGGTTCTTTGATGGGAACGCCTATTATTAATCCACCACAAAGCTCAATTCTTGGAATGCACGGTGTATTTGATAGACCCATTGCAATAAAGGGCGAGGTAAACATTGAAAATTTCTTTTGATATAAATAATTATTAAAAATATTTTAATAAAATTTTTAGATCGTAATTCGTCCAATGATGTATGTGGCTTTAACATATGATCATCGATTAATTGATGGACGTGAGGCTGTGATGTTTTTAAGAAAGATCAAGGCTGCTGTAGAAGATCCCAGAATTATATTAGCTGGACTTTGAGCATCGTAAATATTTTTATTAAATCGCTTCAAACACGCCTCTCATCATATCTAAAACATTTTGTACACGTTGTATTATATTGTGTTCATCAAAACAACATATTCTTAAATACTTATTAATCATTGTGATAAATGAAAGTAAAAAGAGAAAAATATTATACGCGAACGAAATAATACGATGTATTTCTCTTTTACAAACTTTGTTTTATTAACAAAGTATTATTAAACTCACTCGTATTGCATTCAACAATATAAATTAATTTTTCTGTAACATATGATACGGAAATTATCATATTATAAGATTTTTAAATCTAAGCAAGAATAATATAAAAAATCTTCATTGGTATGAAAAAAAAAATGTATATTTTAAACTTTTTGTGACTTAAACTTAAAATACGTTACACAGTAATTTGAAGAAAAAAGCAAATTAATAATAATATGAAGGTTTTTACTTAAAAACATACATATATACAATATATAATAGATATTTATTTTTATTGGTTGAATATTATTAAATTTAAAATTTTCATTATATTCTTTAAAAACTTTTTATATTCTTATTTAATTATATATGATGTAAAAATTGTAAACAAATCATTATATTTTTAAAACAAGTACATGTAACAATTGTTTTACTATTTTTAATCGTTATTATTTTTGAATGATTTTGAATGAGACGTTATAAAGAAGCGATAAGATTGAAAAGATAGAAGAAGATACTTTATTGCAAAGATAAATGTATCTAAATATTAAAATAAAATTTCACAAATCTATATGTTGTCAATATTATATTCATACAAACTATTTATCATATAAAGTTCTTCAAGAAAAAAATCATTTACATAATTTTTCATCATTTATATTATTTTTGTACATATGGGATTAAACAAAAATTTTTATATTTTTTTTTAAAAAGATTTAATTTTACTTTGCATTTATTAATAAGTATTGTTAAATATGTAAGCTATTGTTCTGAAATAAAAAAATAAGCTTATTTAATATTATTACTATATTATATTATATTATATTGCTTTCAAAAATTTCAATAATATAATTTGTTATAAAATTAAAATTAAAAATTATTTGTTTTTATTATTGATTTTCTAGCTTACAATCTTTTAATTAATATATTTATCGAATTAATATGTGTATCGAATTATTTCGATATAATACAAAGATCTCGAAATTGTAATCGATTGTATTTATATAACGGAAATGACTTCGCTGTTTCGATTCGTATGATCAAAAAGTAAAATGGTAAATTTCTAAGATTTCTTTAATTATATATAAATTAGTACTTTTTAAATAATATATAAAATAAAATATTTAATAAGATTTATATTAATTATATATTAATTATTACCCATATTTATATTTAAATAATTATACTTTTATTATTTGATATTATAGGTTATCTTATATTAATTTGCTTATTCTAACTAACTAAACTGAAAATTAAACTTTCGCATATACTCATTATTTTTTTCAATAATATATAAATTTAATTAATATATAAATTTTTTTATTTTCTTCCAATTTTTAAATTTTTTTTCAATTTTTAAAATCATATTAAAAATGTTAAATGTTAAAAATTGAATTTATTTTCAAATATGATAATTATTAAAATAGGGACAAAATCAGTCTGGTACTGGTGGTACAGGAGGTGACAAGAAGGATGATAAAGATAAAAAAAAGAAATATGAACCACCTATTCCAACAAGAGTGGGTAAAAAGAAAAGACGTACAAAAGGACCTGATGCTGCTTTAAAGTTACCACAAGTTACACCACATACACGTTGCAGATTAAAACTTTTAAAATTAGAACGTATAAAAGATTATTTATTAATGGAAGAGGAATTTATTAGAAATCAAGAAAGATTAAAGCCACAAGAAGAGAAAAATGAAGAAGAAAGATCTAAAGTTGATGACTTACGTGGAACTCCAATGTCTGTAGGAACATTAGAGGAAATAATTGATGATAATCATGCAATAGTATCTACATCTGTTGGTTCTGAACATTATGTATCAATTTTATCATTTGTGGATAAGGATCAGTTAGAACCTGGATGTTCAGTTTTATTAAATCATAAAGTTCATGCTGTTGTTGGAGTTTTAGGAGATGATACAGATCCTATGGTTACAGTAATGAAGTTGGAGAAAGCTCCACAAGAAACTTATGCAGATATTGGTGGTATGGAATATTATATTATCATTAAAAATTTTTATAATATTATATATTCATATTATAAATCCAAATTATATATTCAAAATATTTTATTATTTAGGACTTGATACACAAATTCAAGAAATTAAGGAATCTGTAGAATTACCTTTAACACATCCAGAATATTATGAAGAAATGGGTATTAAACCTCCAAAAGGAGTTATACTTTATGGTCCTCCAGGAACTGGAAAAACATTGTTGGCAAAAGCTGTTGCTAATCAAACTTCAGCAACTTTTTTAAGAGTCGTTGGTTCTGAACTTATACAAAAATATTTAGGAGATGGTCCTAAACTTGTTAGAGAGCTATTTAGAGTTGCAGAAGAACATGCTCCTTCAATTGTATTTATAGATGAAATAGATGCTGTAGGCACCAAACGATATGATAGCAATAGTGGAGGTGAACGTGAAATTCAAAGAACTATGTTAGAACTTCTCAATCAACTTGATGGTATGAAATATATTTTAAATTGGATCATAATAGTATATAATTATATTATAATATATAATATAATATATATATAATATATATAACTTGTATAATATATATAATTGTTATATATATAATAAAAAAATATATCCTTTTATTTTTATTTTTATTTAGGTTTTGATAGTCGAGGAGATGTTAAAGTGGTAATGGCTACAAATAGAATTGAAACTTTAGATCCAGCATTAATCAGACCAGGTCGAATTGATAGAAAAATAGAATTTCCATTGCCCGATGAAAAAACAAAACGGAGAATATTCAGCATTCATACTAGTAGAATGACTTTAGCACCTGATGTAAATTTAGCAGAATTAATTATGGCTAAAGATGATCTTTCAGGTGCAGATATAAAGGTAAAATATTATTTATTTAAATGATGTTTGAATGAAAAAAATTAAATAAATAATATTTAAATATTTTAATGTATTAAAAATATTTAAAAAATATTTAAAAATAATTAATTTTAATTGTATTAAAAATATTTTTTTTGTTTTATAGGCTATATGTACCGAAGCTGGTTTAATGGCATTACGTGAACGCCGTATGAAAGTTACTAGCGATGATTTTAAAAAATCTAAAGAAAGCGTTTTATATCGGAAAAAGGAAGGATCTCCCGAAGGATTATATTTATAAAAATATTATAATTAATGTTTTTTATTTATGATTCAAATTTGATGCTTTACATACTAATAAAAAATACAAATAACTTTATATTAGTAAATTAATTATTTTTTAATTCTGAAAAATTTTGAATTTTTAATATATCTGACTCACTAATATTTAATTGTTTTACATATGGTTGAAAATATTGATACAATGTTTGAAGAACTTTCAATGAATATGATCTCTGTTCATTAATAATTTCGAAAAACATTTTTTGATCATTTATATTTTGAAATTCTGCTACACATATATGACATATACCTCTTTTAATTTTATCAAGAATTTCATTTATATTTTGTGGATGTTTAACATCTCGTGAAATAATGTTTAATAAACTTTTAAATTTTCCTAGAATGAAAGCTATTTGAAAACCTTCTTTGTATCCATTATTAAAACTTTCTTGGAAAACAGAATTTGATCCATCTTCTATTCCTTCTCTATAACCATCCTTTAAAAAATATATTTAAAAATCCCATGCATTATAATAAAAATTTTATATTAATGAAATATGCATAATACCTTTGTAGCAGCATCGATAATTCGATTCCATTCTTTAGAAGCAATTTTCAAAGAATCTTCGATATCCAATTCATTTATAGAGTTTTCCATATTTTTAAAATAATATTTAAATTGATATAATAAATTTCATTGTTATAGAATAAACAATGAAAACATGAAAATATAACCTAACAAATATCAAAAATAGTCAAGTAAATCATACGAATAACAATAAAAAAAATTAAATGGAGAACGAACCTAGTACATCAAAGGAACAAGAAGCAAGTAATGCAGATATAAATTCATATGAATCAATTGAACAAAAGTAAGTTTTAATTTTTTCTACCAAAAATTGCTAACTACTAAACTTTTTATACATTTATTTAATAGGTTATGATTATTATTTATATATAATTATTATAATATAATTATATAATATAAAAATATTATATTTTATTATTGTATAAATGAAATTTATGAATGAAAAATATTAAAATATGTAAATATGATGTTTTAAATTGCAGAATTATTGCATTAGCACAAGCAAGACCAAAAGGAATTTCTGATAAAGACTTAACTATAGAAATGCCAGATTTACAACCTGCTCAAAGAGCTCAAATTATAAATAAACTTTTATCTCAAGGTCATTTTGATTTATTTAAACAAGGTGGTTCATTGTTATATCGTTTGAAAGATCCTTCTAAAGCAAAAATAGCTAAAGGTGCAGATAATGAAGAAAAGATTGTATATACTATTATTGAAGAAGCAGGCAATAAAGGAATTTGGATTCGTGATATAAGATTTAAATCTAATTTAATGCCAACTCAATTAAATAAAATTTTAAAAAGTTTAGAAACTAAAAAATTTATCAAAGCTGTTAAGTCTGTTGCAGCAAGTAAAAAAAAAGTATATATGTTATACAATTTAGAACCAGATACATCTGTAACTGGTGGTGCTTGGTATCAAGATCAAGATTTTGAAGCAGAATTTGTTGATGTCCTTAATCAACAATGTTATAGATTTTTAGAAAAAAAAAAAGAGCAAATGAATTCTTGTGGCGGAGGACCAATAATGGCTAGAAATATTACATTTGCTTCATCTAAAGAAGTATGGAAATTTATTTCTGATTTAGGAATAAGCAAGGTTTGAATGATTATTGTAAATTTTTTAAATTATATATTTGAATATTAAAAAAATATATATATTATATTAATAATATATATTAATAATTTTTATAGGTAAAATTATCAGTTGAAGATTTGGAGATGATATTAAATACTTTAGTTTATGATGGAAAAGTAGAACGTACTCTTTCAGGTGATGGAAATACTTTATATAGAGCAGTAGAACCTTTATTAAATCCACCTGGATTAATTAAATCTACTTGTGGTGTTTGTCCTGTAAGCTACTTTATTTATTTATTTATTTATTTGTTTATTGGATGATATATTTTTATATATTAATAATGAAACATTTAAAAATAGGTAAGAAAAAATTGCTGTGATGTTGGTGATGTTACACCTACAAAATGCCAATATATTACAGAATGGTTAGAATAATTTTTCATAAAAAAAATATTTAAAATAATTATTTATATTATATTATGTTATACGTGCATATTATAATAAAAATAAATATATAAATTAAATAAA